AGTTCAGCTTAGCTGTCTCGTACAAATCGCACGGCTTCACCAACCCAGCGAATTGACGTCTGCCAACGATCTCGACGAGACGCAAGTCTGAGTTCTGCCTTATTTCGAAATAGAAAGTGCCTGGGAAGACAGGTGATCAATCCGGGGGAGGGGCAGAGCAAAACGTGGGAGCAAGTGCTCAATTGGGTGCTCTTAATAAAAGTGAATCCTACCACAGCATTTCTTTCCCAATTCAAATTGTGATGGTTTTTCAAGTCATAGTGACAGTTTCTCCAATCAAGCTTGAAGTTGTATATGTGGAAGTCTCCTCAAAAGGGGAGCGGTTGCGGAAAGACATTAGACAGGAGTAATACTCGAGTGCATGGGTTATATCGTGTAAATTGAGATCTGCCGTTCTGTCGATGAGATGCAGGATAAAGGAATAAAGGAACAAGTACTGATAGTTATGATGTGTGCTTTACATGTATCAGTTGTGTCGAGGTCAAGTAGATATGCTACGGTCTATTAGTAATGACTGCAAAGTGGTCCACACAGCAAATGCGTTTGTTATAATCCATGATACGAGTCATGTGATGGGTGGGGGATGGAACAACAGTTCAGTATCACGACTAACCCAGAGGGGCCGTATGAGGTTCGTCCCTCCAAGTTCCGGGATTTGGATTACCGGTCTCCATCACTGAACAGCACGTCTTTGTGAGTATGGGGCTTTCCACATAGCCTGTTTATCATACTCAGGTGCGTGATAAAAAGGTGCGCATTTGAGTGAATGGTAATGAATTGGTGTGGTGAATTTTTTCCAAACGCTAGATCAGTGTAGTAAATAATAATCTTTTATTTTCCTTTAATGGGTATAATATACAGTGATGCAACTATGACCAAGAATTTAGGAACGATAAGATATCTAAAAACGAAAATGAGAAAGTTCACCTAAAAATTAGGACAGGAAGTGCTGCTTAAGCAGCACTTCTGATACGAGATGGTGGGCTACTTCCGATCTACGGTTAACGAAAGGGTACCTTGTCAGGTGCATCTTTAGGTGGCTGATAAGAGAAGATTCATTTATGTGGTTATGTGGTCAAAGCTCCACGAAATAAGCGATCTATGGAGGTCAGCCACAATGCAGAAAGTTTGTGAGGTGCTTTTGTGTACCAGGTTGATGGTGCAAAACAACCGCGAAACATATATAATCGTTTATTACGGTGTCAATCTACGGTGGAATTAAACAGTCCATGAGGAGTAGTAATTACTTGGCGAATCTCTAGTTGGCTTTCATGCCATACTGTTTTCATTTCGTTCCTCCCCCTATCACAAGTTACCGGCTCTGAGTGTGTGATGATATTCCGGGTCTTTTCTCTTACATTAGGAGGGAGTGAAACGCGAGGTACTGGAAGAGTCCGGGGTGGAATTCGAACCGAAAAATCTCGTTCTGCTGGAATCTAATGGTTCCTCCTGGTTTTCCGTCACATTTCTGGGCGATGCTATCGGAGGTGAGTGTCGAAGGTAGATGGAATCCTGTGCTAATTGATCACTGCACGGTGCAGAACATGCGTGGTGTCAATGTTTGAGAGGTTATTTACCCGAACGGTGCATATTATTTTTCGTTGGTAATTGTTGCGTTACCACAAAATGGGGACTGCTTGTCAATATCCGTTTTTTTATAGATCTCAGAACGACATAGGATGATGTACATTCCGTTGATTGATCTTCTTTTCGCTCGTTCGGTGGTTTTTTCATCATCTTCAGTTAATCCGTTTTGCGTAGAGATCCATAATTCACATTTAACTCACAGTTACCTGTGAGTAATGGTGTGGAATAATATTGATTTATCGGAACTGATTGTCCTTCAGACTTCACCTTCACGCACGATCCTTAACTCGTTGCCGTCAGGTCAAAATGAATGACTATCTCTGAAGACAACACCTGAACAAACATGAATTAGCAGTTTGGTTCCACCCTTGTATGAGCTGGTTGGCACAGTGGTAGCGCACACGCCTTCCATACGATGGGTCTGGAGTACAAATCCCAGACGGGACAGCGCATCTTCACTACTGATGAGTTCTAATTAGAGCGAAACTCGGGTCAAGTACTTCTGAGTGTATGGTTGGCTGGAAAAACTGAGGAATGTGCGTGAAGGTGAGGTCTGATGGATGGTCATTTATATAAAGTCCACTCTATACTTGTTTCACCTTGACCTGTCGGTTGACAAATACTTCGAGACTTTAAGCTTAGATTGCAGGTTTCTTCTATATCGATAGTTCGTGCTCTTTCCAGTTTGCTTTGGATTCTGATGTGATTCTTCCTTATGGGTTTGACAGCCTGTGTGATGCTATGTACGGTTTTATTACAATCTTGCGTAATGAACAGCAGATGGGGAGAACCCCATAATCACGAAGAACCACATTAGGCCTTGATGGGTCAGGCGTGGTACTGTTCTGGACGATAGCAAAGCTGCCTACCCCGAAAGTTGGGTGTTCATGGCGGGGATCGAACTTCGGGCCTTAGTGTCCAAAACACGCCGGTGACAGCGACTAATCCACTGCGCTACCACCACTCAACATTTTGTTTTAACGATCTGCTACTTTGGGGAAATGAATCGTAATATGACTGCCTTATCATAAATCGTGGGATAAAATATCACCAAGTGGCTTAGGATAGCATACTCCCGATCATGGTGTACTCTAAAGTTTACTGCTTTCACTTTCAAACCCGTTGAACTGCGCTTGGAGGCCAGTGGCTACTACAAAACTGTGGTTTATGTAGTTGTACGCTATTGACTGTATCTTCATGGCGCAAATGAGCAATCGGGCATTTGGGTGGTTAGCTGTAACTAGTGTGGCGTTGCATCAGCAGCCTAGGAAGGTCAGCGAGAAAATTTCAGGATATTGCGGCTTTTCGCTCGGCCATCAGTTTTATCGCATCTTGCGCGTCATCGTATGTTTACTAATATCAAATTCAGCTTATTCTCATTTAGTTTTCCTATCGCTCTTTTTATACTAAAATTATAATGTGAACTATGTGTATCTTACCCCGTACATACTGTTGAATTGTTAAAATGCTTACGTGGGTGGTGCTTCGGAACTCCGTTTATCTTCTCACATTTTGCGGAGGGGGGAGGGAGGTATATATATTTTTATTACAGATTTGCGTTCTAATTGGTATGCAAGCTTTAGACTTGGCATTTTCGATTTTATCTGGTTCCGTTCTTTTGGACTGACTCAACACTATACAACAGGTCGGTATGTGTGCAATGACTTCTTCCCCTCAGGTCAACCGAAAACCGTACCGGATAGCGAGTCTCTCAGGGCGCAGTGGTTTGACTTGACCGAGGTGCGCCAGTTCGAGTCCAACTGGTTTTCAGCTTATCGGGTTCATCGTCTTGGTCATGCCCCAGTCGGAGCTGCAAACCAGTTGGACTCGAA